CGGGATTGCCTTGCACAGGGGACGGAGGTGACGAAGGCCAGGATGGGGATGCCATCTCCGGCAACACCATCGGCACATCGCGAGACTCTGCTCAAAGGTCCCTGACGATCAAAACGAGTGGACTCAGCCTGGCCCTCCGGGCCTCCAGACAGTCGGGACCCAAGCGGTATCACGCTCGGCGCTTGCCGGCCACCGGCTGTGCTTTTTGACTGCCCCATCCTCCAACAACTGCGTCGACACCGGGATCCTCGAAAAGGCAACAGCCCGTGTCAAGACCTCCAGGAAATGGCACTACATGATTGTTAACCACCAGGCAAGTCAATGACGGCCGCGAGGCAGAGAGACTTATACGGTGTGGGTAGCATGGATGTTCCCCCGGTAGATTAACAGCAAGCGAGGATCGGTCCCGGCGGCGGCAGCAAGCGAATGCGGAGCCGAACCCTACCTCCTCAGAGAACCGGAACGAACCAGTTCATTCGGCGGGGGGTGGCGGCTTTCTTGCGCTGCCCGAAGGGAGGGGTGACGATACAACGTCACAAGAGGGGGGCTGGTTTGCCTGACGGCAGCGAAGTGCATCAGCAAACACTGAGCGGAGTGCTTGGCGGAATGTCGGGGGACGGCAGCAAATTGGATTACCGCAGCAGGTGAATCCCGGACCCTGGGTCCAAGGACCCCGATGGCCGGCCTCTCCAGGTTGACATGCTGACTGCATCTCCAATGTCCCGTCTGGGGGCGAGGTTGAAGGGCGAGGGAGGGCCCAGAGGGATCCTGACCGGAGCCTGTTCGAGAAGGTAGGGATCCATGGATTTGGGGATGGAGCCTTGGTGTGTTTAACGTGGAGGGGCAACGACGTCTAAGCCTGCGCGCGCAAGGCCCTTGCGCACCGGGAGTCGATGAGGGCGTGCATACTCCGTATTGGCCTGGTAATTAATCGGGCTGCCTGGTGCTCGAGGCTGGACAGCGGTGGTGTCAGCGACGTCGGACTGTTGCTCGGAGGGCCTCGTTTCCGATGCATGGTTGGATGTTGAGTGGAGTGGGTGTTGGGGAACCATGCCGCCAAGCCTGCCAGTTTGGACGGGACCCACCACAAAATGGCAGAATCTTTCACCGCCCAGCCGGTCCCTGAATTGCGCCCGCCAAGACTCGCGTCCAGGTGTCCCCGCCCAGTTATCTGCCTGCCCGATAAGCCGCCTTGCTGAAAAAAAATCCATGAGCCGCTGCGCAGAGTGATTCAACCAAACCGTCGCGCAACACCACCAAACCCACACCAAGATGGCGTCCGATCTCAGCAAAAAGCGGAAGTTCAAGGACTCCAAGGGAGCCAAGTCCCAGCCAATTGCGGCAGTCCCATCCAAGTCAAAAAAGCTGAAGAGGGACCCGACCCCGGAGGCCAGCGACGCGGGGAACGACAGCGACAGCGACAGCCCCCGCAACGACGACGAGCGCGACGAGCCTGACGCCGAAGATGCGACCGCCGACCAGGATACCTCTGTGGCTGAACAGGACGGTGACGCTTCAGCGAAAGAAAATGGGGCAGGAGGGTTGGACCACGTGCTCAAGGGCGACGGCTCCTTGCTTCCGCCCTCGGTGACGACCGACGCCCAAGCATTCTCCGAACTCAACCTCTCGGACAAGACCATGAAGGCCATCGGCGAGATGGGATTCACAAAGATGACTGAGATCCAACGACGTGGCATTCCGCCCCTGCTCGCGGGCAAGGACGTGCTCGGGGCAGCCAAGACAGGGTCCGGCAAGACCCTCGCCTTCCTCATCCCTGCCATCGAGATGCTTAGCTCCCTGCGCTTCAAGCCGAGGAACGGGACTGGCGTCATCGTCGTCACACCCACGCGCGAGTTGGCTCTGCAGATTTTTGGGGTTGCGCGCGAGCTGATGAAGAACCACTCACAAACCTGTAAGTTGCGACGCCCTCCACCCACCCCACTCGTCCACCTTCCCGCCAGCCAGTTGACTGACTTGTGTGTGTCCCAGACGGCGTTGTTATCGGAGGCGCAAACCGGAGAGCTGAGGCAGAGAAGCTCGGGAAGGGAGTGAACCTCCTCATCGCCACGCCCGGCAGGCTGCTTGATCGTAGGTCTTGACCCAGCGCCCCCGTTGTTCACATCAAATCCTGACGCATTTGGCCACAGACCTCCAAAACACCCCGTTTGTCTTCAAGAACCTCAAGTCGCTGGTTATCGACGAGGCCGATCGGATATTGGAAATTGGTTTCGAGGACGAAATGCGCCAGATCATCAAGATCCTGCCCAAGGAGGACCGCCAGACCATGCTCTTCTCCGCCACCCAGACAACAAAGGTCGAGGACCTCGCCCGAATCTCGCTCCGCCCCGGCCCCCTGTACATCAACGTCGACGAGGAGAAGCAGTTTAGCACAGTCGAAGGCCTTGATCAGGGATACGTCATTGTCGATGCCGACAAACGCTTCCTCTTGCTCTTCTCGTTCCTCAAGAAGATGGCCAAGAAGAAGATCATCGTCTTCTTCTCGTCCTGCAACTCGGTCAAGTACTACAGCGAGCTCCTGCAGTACATTGACCTGCAGGTTCTCGACCTGCACGGCAAGCAGAAGCAGCAGAAGCGTACCAACACCTTCTTCGAGTTCTGCAACGCCAAGCAGGGAACTCTGATCTGCACAGACGTTGCCGCGCGCGGCCTCGACATTCCCCAGGTGGACTGGATCGTCCAGTTCGACCCGCCCGACGATCCCCGCGATTACATCCACCGAGTGGGCCGGACAGCGCGAGGCAACAACACCAAGGGCCGGTCGCTGCTGTTTTTGCAGCCGGGCGAGCTGGGCTTCCTCGCCCATCTCAAGGCCGCCAAGGTCCCGGTGGTGGAGTACGACTTTCCCAAGAACAAGATCCTCAATGTGCAGTCGCAGCTTGAGAAGCTCATTGGGAGCAACTATTACCTCAACCAGAGCGCCAAGGACGGGTACCGGTCATATCTCCACGCTTACGCCTCCCACAGCCTTCGGAGTGTCTTTGATGTCAACAAACTTGATCTGGTGAAGGTGGCAAAGGTAAGGCTCGCCGCGACAATGTGTTACTTGACACTCAGCTCACAACTTGCTTCCAGGGTTTTGGTTTCGCCACGCCCCCCAGAGTCGACATCACCCTGTCGGCAGGGATGAGCCGGGATAAGAAGCCGCAGGGCAGGAGAGCTTACGGCAGTCAACCGCGGCAGGGTGGTCAGCACCACCGTCAGTAGCTCTCTCTAGAGCTGGCCCATCCCATGATGGGCCGCTGGTTCCATTCGTCTGAGCCTTTGTTACGGAGTTGTGGCGTCGGAAGAATACAGGGGGCAAGGGGGATTGCATACCATGGGAGCGGCTCTACCAGCGAAGCGGCTGTCTGTGTCTGCTGCTAGTTGTCGTCTAGTCTACCATTCAAGGTCATCTCGTCCAATCTATTTACCATCACGTTGCGCCAGTGTCTGATTCGGACAGTTTGGTTTATTTTCACATTTCCAACGACTAGTTAATTCATACATGTACACGTCCTTAAGCTGGCAGCTTTCCCGACTTCTTGGCCGTCCAGGTCGCAATCGCATCCATCAGGGGGGACGACAGCGCATCGTACGACTCCAGCCCGACACTCTTCAACTTGCTCCGGACCGCATCCATGCCCGCAGGGTCAAAGCCCTGCTCGATGATGGACGACACGAAGGCGGCAAACTGCGGCTCCTGCCACCCCTTGGTGTTGGACAGCTCGACGTGGACAAAATCCAGCCCGTGGAAGGGGTGCTCCTTCTCGATGCGCCCGTACAGGTGGGTGCCGCAGCCGACGCAGGCGTAGCGCTGGATGGCGGCGGCGGCGTCGACGATCTGCAGCTTGTCGGCATTGGCGGTGACGGAGAGCTTGTCCCGGGGCACGACGGCAACCAGGGAGAAGAGGGCGCCGGCGGGCTTCCAGCACTTGGAGCAGCCGCAGACGTGGTTGTGGGCGACGTTGCTGGCGAGGGTCACCTCGACGGGGTTGGCGGCGCAGAGGCAGCGGAGTTTGCCGCCGGGAAAGGAGGCGTCGCCGGCCGTGATGCCGTTGTCAACCAGGGGGTGGAGAGAGGGGGCCATGGTGTTGGATGAGACCGTGGTACGATTTGGATAATTAGCGGATTTGGATGGGAGATTGGCTTGGATGAGCTTAGAGAGTAGGAATGGGATGTGGTGTTACCATGCCCGTGACTACCACCAACGTATATGTATTGTTCAGAGACGTGTGGGCGTTTGGTGCGCAGCGGCCATTGAACAACTCCCGATGCCTCGCGGGTTGTATACCCGGCTCTATCCGTCCCCCTCAAGTTGCTCTCACTGGGCCGCCAAATCAATGCCTTCCTTCAAATTCCCTCCTATCCTCAGTCCCGCCTGCTTCTTCTTCCCGTCCGTGGCACCGCGTCCACATCCCGGCAAAATGGCATGCCGATGCGGTGCTGCAATCAGCCCCCCAGAAGATCACGCAATCGAGGGCCAGCTCGGGCCTCCTTCGCCGTCTCGGCAAGACGGGGTTTCGGCATTGCTTGCTGTCAGCCATGAGGCATGACAGTCCCACTCACAGATAAGGGGCCATCGAGGAGTCCATTGAATTTGAGGCCAAAGGTACATGATTGCTCAGATGTCTGAATCACCAACCGTACCCGAGGATATTGAAGACTGTTGTCGGCTTGTGGACGTAACTTGCCGCATGGACCAACGAGATGCGGCTTGAACCCTCATCTGCACCCTCAATCTACTATGTACGGAGCAAGACCGTACGACTTTTGACTATGCCTCAACTCACAAGCATCCTCACGAACACCGAGCGGGACCTGCAGTGTCAACGCGGACAACATCAGCGGCTGCCCGAACCCCCCCACCGCGACATGGACTCCCACCCCTGAACCATCCACAACAACTCCACCCACCAGAAAACTTTTCAACCACCCCAATATGAAGGCTCACTCCGTTCCTGCCTCCCAACAATCCAATCGGAATCCACATCCGCCTTCGATCGGGTATGGTGTAGCGGTAACATCGTTGACTCTCATTGCTCCTCTAACGGGGTTCATGGACACTCAACAGCCCGGGGTTCGACTCCCCGTATCCGAGTTTTTTGGACTTCATGAGTCCGGACGGGGAATCTCTAGAGCTGAGTCTGTCTCGCCAGGCGTCCGGCCTGAAAGTTGGAAGCCTCTCTCGTTGGACGTAAATCTGGGCCGCCCGCGAGCAAGCAGTTGGGCCCAAGAGAGTCTTCCATTTTTTCCGCACCTGACCGATACTGAACAATAGCTTCTCTGTTGAGGCCAAAAAGCACATGGCGAATTCGGCCAGCTGCTGGTTTGAGTGAGCCTCGGGGAGGGTGCTGCAAGTGGGTGGCTTGGTGCCTGACCCACCCAAAGGGCAACAAAAATAACTGGGCTAGGATTGGCCGCCTCGATCGCGATGCACCATCTCAAGGTGGGGTGTCCTCAGTTCCATCCCGACTTCTTACACCCACCAAGGCGCATCGGGTTGCGAGATGGGGGTTAGCCAGACAAAGAGCCTGTCGATGCGATTGCAGGAATCCATCAAAGCAAAGGAATGGTGCCAGGGCTGTGAAGACGGAGGGCGGATTCCAGAACACAAAGTCGCCCAACAGGTCTAAGCCACGCTGGCCCATTGGTAGGCCTGACTCAAGCGGTGTTGGCTGCCGTGGTGCTTTGCCCTGCTGAGCCTCACACGTGGGGTTTCACCAGGCGTTTCACGCCTTTGAGTCCGCCCATCTTGGCCTGCACACATGGCCGGCCATGCACTCCTCCATTTGCTTGCCGCTGTCACCTGTCAGCCAACCACCTGTTTGGGGCCAAATCTGACGGGCATCTGAAAATGCCATGATGACCATGTCACGGTTCCGTTGGCCGCCGCGGCGCGGCTTTATGTACCGTGGTCACACCCGAGCGAACAGCAAGTTCTTTGTTCCCAATGCCCATCCATCATCTCTTTGTTCCGTCTCGATTAAATATAAAAACCGAACGAGGATTCCACTTTGCCTCAACGACACAAACACCCGAGAGAGCTGGCAACCTCCGTACTCCCACCTCCACCAACCCAGCAACTCAACAACCACGCTCCTTGACACTTCACACGAGACACACCGCAAATCTCAATATGTCTGACGCCCAAAATCCGGCCAGCACCAAGCGCTCCATCTCCGGCATGCTCCGCGCCTACAAGACCAAGAAGGAGGAGCGCAGGAGGGAAGAGGCAGAACACAACGCCCGGTTGGCCGCCGTGCACTGGGAAGTGCTCTCCATGACGGGCGGCACCGCGAGACCGGCCCGGCACTTCGTTTCCGAGTCCGATTACGCGGGCACCGGGAGGGTAGCGAGTCGGAAGACTTGAGAGTTGGTCCGAGTGTGATGATGTGGTATTGCGCGGTGCGGTTGGGGAGTGACATGGGCAGTTTGAAGCAAGGGGACGGAGACATTGTGTTGGCTTCTTGGATTGGCGTTATCGGACTGGGTTTATATTATTGGACGGGTCATGGGATTGTCATTGAGAGGTTGGCGTTATGGAACTAGATACCCTTCATGAGAGTCGGGTAGAGAAGGCTGTTGTCGAAGCCTCGGTAGCTCGAGACGAGCAACGAATCTGAATCCCGACAGGAGAGAAGGTGGCGGGACAACACTCGCTTCATCCTTATGTCTGCTCATCAGTTCTTGACGTTGGCATGATTCAGATGGCGTGAGGGACGGTCTGGTTAGTTTCCCACCAGCCTGCTCCCTTGCGGGGGGAATCGAGACAACAAGAGCACGCCTGCCGCCAGAAACGCGATAGCCTGCGTCTAAAAGTCAGCATTTAACCCTTAATGGTCGGAGCTCCTGGGGGCCTCACAGCGTTTGCAAAAAAGGTCAGATGCGGTTTACCAATCTCCGCCAACGCCGCAAAGACAAAGCCGAACAAGCCTTGAGTGGCAAGCCGGGCGATGTTTTCCACGAGACTCAGGGCGTTTAATGCGTTAGCCCTGTCTGAGGCTGAGCACATCTCGGTCATGACTCCCTTTGCGGCCGGTGCCGTGCCGGAGGCGAAGGGTAGCAAGAAGGCGGCTGAAAATATCAGCATCGTTGGTCATCAATCCCAAACTTAGAAGAACGTACCGAGATAGATATGCCACCCCTTGGTGGCAAATGCCGCGCCCATGGTCAATAGACCATCAGCAACCAGGCTTATCCGGAGGAAGAACAGATCAAAAGCTGTTCCCTCGTCCTCCTTCGGCTCAGGGGGGCTGACGGGCTCCTCTTCGGCCAAGCTCCCTATCGGTGCCTCGAGGTCCTCGGGGTTTGTGGCCAGACCTGACTGCGGTCGGGGCTCAGTCTCTACAGACTCCCTCGATTCCAGACCCGAGGCTTGTTCCCGGGCGAGGTACCACTCTCGCCCCGTGCTGATAATCCGGGGGAAGAGGAATATCAAAAACGCCGCGCGCATAAACGCAAAGCCCGACATCAGCCACCCGTTGTCACCCTGTCGAAATTCGAAGACGGCGGTGGCGTACATCTGGATTAATAACGGGGCATATCCCGTGGCCAGCTGGAACAGTCAAGTCAGCATGTGATGGCGCGGCCGCTGGCACGGCAGTGCCGGATCAAGTGCAACTCACGACGCCGAGAAACACCCCTGTGCATAAGAAAAGGACACCATAATGCTTCACCGACGCTCCGCTCGCTAGAATAAGCCTCTGGGGAATGAGGACACGCAGCGGGGCAAAGAACTCTGCCAGTCCTTTAGACTCCTGTTTCGAGTTGCCGCCGGACAGCGCCTCCGCGGGAATGTACGGCATCGCAAGGCGCACGTACAAGGTCGCAATCAGAAACGAGTAGAAGGCGACCTCAAACGGCCGCCGAATTCCCCAGGTATCACCGATCATGCCTCCACCTATTCCGTTGAGTCAGTCAGTTCAACGAGTTTCGCAGCCGAGACTTGGAAGACGCACTGAGGTACCCAATCCCTTGGCCCAGCATCGTGGACCCCTGAAACATTCCAAAGACGGCTGTGCGCCGAAGGGGTGCCACGACCTCGCCAGCGATGATATTGGCTACCAAACTGCGAAGCACTGGGTTAATACATCTGTACCTAGGTGAGGGTGCAGCTCACGACTGAGCGCAGCGAGCACTTACATGTACCCGGCTGGCCCGCCGATCACGGTGATGAGCTGGGTACACTGGAAGATGATGATACCGGTCCTGCCGCCAGCCAGTACCCCCAGGATCTGCGTGGCAACCCGGATGGCTGGTACAAACGTCTGTATCAGGAGGGCGGCGCGCGGGCCAAAGCGCTTGGCCATCCAGCCGGCCACAAACAGGTTGATGGTGCCACAGAAGGTGGTGCTCATGCCCAGGATGGAGAATTGCGTGGCGGTGCCTGCAGCGATCTCGTTGCGGCTGCATCGGTCGCCAGGGCCTTCGTATGGCGGGTTGGTGCTGTAGAAGACATCGCACTCCATCAAGTGGAAGGCGTAAAAGATGCTGTGGGTGTTGGGGGTTCGGGATATCGTTAGCTGGGTCTTCACTCGGCCCCTTTCCTACACCTTTGGACTCTGTCAAGTCTGCTTACGGCACTTGGGTAAAGCTGAAGGAGAGTGTAATCAGGAACCCAGCGAACAGAATACGCTTCTCGACATCGGCCCCAAGTGCCTTCTGCAGGAGAGCAGCGAAGCCGCCTCCTGGCTGAGTCGAAGGCGGGCATGCGTCCTTTCCATTTGGAGCATCATCGTCTGAATTCGCAGCCCGGGGATAGACATCGCCAAGGAGCGGAGTGTGTTCCGAGGCGCCATCCGGCGTCATGATAGTGTTTGGGGACATGAATCAAGATCAAGAGTCTGGGCACGGCGCGATCTGGGTCTCTCGGAACCGATCCATTCACAGAGGAGGTTGAACGGAAACAGCGGGAACCGATTCATCCCGCTTTCGGGGTAGAGGGGGGGGGGCCGTGGAGAATGTCGCACGAACAGTGGAGATATGCAGGACTTGCGCAACCCCGTCCCTGCTCCGTCCCGTCGCCCACAAGGCTCCGGTATGAGCCGAAATACGTTAGTCCGAGAATGGCGGGGTCCTTGTCACCGACAACCGGTACCGGACCGGGCCCCTGTTATCACATCCGCGGATGCCGCGATACCCACACGGGATCCTGACGAGATAATCAAGTGAGTTGAGCAAGAGCTGCAAAGAATGAATGACCGTGGCGGTCGGAGTGAAATTATTGTATTATTTCAACACAATCCAAGCAATGGACGAATATTAATAATTAACAGGGATGGGAGCTGGAAACTGAATTCGCTGCTGTCCCTCACAGCTTCTTGCACAGGCGAGTGCCGTCCTCGATGACCTCCCAGCTCTCAGTGCCCGGGGTAGAGACGGCGTAGAAGACGCCGAGGGGGTCGTACTTCGAGCGAATCGACTTGAGCTTGGGGTACTCGGAGCCCCAGAAGGCGCTCTGCCAGTTGGGCTGGTAGGGGTCGGCCTGAAGAGAGATCAGGGTTAGCGGTATTAAAAAAAAAATACATGGGATTTGTGTGGACCTACCTCGTTGACATAGGTGCAGCCGCTGGTGCTCGCCTGCCTGAGGGCCTCGTCTATGGTGTTGGTCAGGACGTCCTGCAGGTCGGCCTTGATGGCCAGCGACGCGCCGTCGGGGACAGGGAGGACGGTGATGATGAAGTCGGTAGCGTTCCTCCACGACGGGTGCGTCGCGCTGTTGCTCTGCGGGGCGCCGTAGCCGGGGTTGAACAGGTGGCCGATCATGAAGCCGAACAGGTCGGCGCGGGGGGCCAGAACCGTCTTGAAGGCGTCGATGATGCCGTCGTTGTTGGTCGCCACGTCGTGGTGGTTGAACATCCAGCCACCCGTGAGCGCCGAGCTGCCCGAGTTCTCAACCTCGAAGAGGTCGACGTACAGGTCGTAGAAGGTCGGGAACTCCTTGGCGGTGAAGTCGAACGGCACGCCCTTGGACGTCAGCTCGTTGAGGAAGGGCTGGACAATGGTCTGCAGCTGCGCCTTGGTCTTGCCAATGCCGACGAAGGGACGGGCGCGGAAGGTGAAGGGGAGGATCTCAAAGTAGACGTAGAGGCCGTTGTC